AGAGTTATTCCGGAATTCAGCGGTGAATTGTGCAGCGTATGAGCACCGTTTATTGTCTTTGACACAATTATAAAAACACAAAAGATTTGGTGAGTTTGCCAAGCGAATGGCGATGTCTTTGTGGCCGACATTGAAGAGGTGTGACAAGCTATTCACGAATTTTGTTTTCTTGGAAGAAGCAAATTTCTTGTGTTTTTTTAAATTGTACCAGGATTTGTGGAGTTTTTTGAGTTTTGTCACCATATTCCGATGTTCAGCTGTTGGTAATTTTAGCCTCCTCCAAACGCTGATTGTTGCGGCCACTGTCTTGTTTGCGCTTTCAGAAATAGTTTTCTTCTCACACGTATGATGGAACAGGAAGAGGCGCAACACGTCACTATTTTTCGGCAATTCTTCTATATCAGCAAAAGATTTAATCGAAGACCCGAGCAACCGGAATTTTCCACCCATATTATCGAAATAAACAGAACAAAGAATTTGTAAATGGCCACAATTCGCGGACACCGTGTAGTTTGAAATGTTTACATTTAAAGCATGAATCTTGAGAAATGAAAAGAGGCTCCAGGACTGTAAAGAGTTGCAATATGACTAGTGGCGCCCTTCAGGGATTTTTGCGGGACATGCAGGAGTTGCAATGTATGAATCTAAATCATGTATCAGGGGTTGCAAACTGATGTGCAGGGGTCCCTGTGAGATACACAGCGGAAAAATTGGATTTGGGCGAAAATTAGGTCGATTGGGTTCAGGGGTGACTCCAGTAATTCGTAAACTATTTAAAAATGCTGTGCACTACAAACATGCGCGTGTCTTCAATCGATTGGTAACACTTTTTTCTTCAAGATGAAAACCTGAAAGAATTTTCTTTACCCCGACAAGGCCCTTTTATCATCTCAGAATGCTTCATTTTTACCCGAAAATGCATTTTCAAGCCTCAAACAACCTGTCCCAGCGCTGAATCTTGATCTCTAACCTCAAAACTAATGGTTGCATCGTCTTCAGGGACGAAAAATACGTAGGGAACCAAAGTCACGACCTCGAATTTACAAAATAATCGTCGATAGGTTTCAATTTTATCGGGAGCGGAATCGTCATTTTTACTTTTAACCCTAACCCTCCTAACACGGGTACCTGGGTACCCGAACGGACTTTGAAGTCAAATATTTTTCAAATAAAAAAAGTTACATATTTGAGGTTCCATGACATCTTAAAAACAGTTGTTTTCTATCGTTTTTCGCATTTTTAGCTTTCTAGAATTGTTTGAGCCGGTTGTGGAGCCGCCCAAAGTCGAGTAGTCCTTACCCTCCTGATAAGGGTACCCGGGTACCCGTAAACTTTTTAATACATTTTGTATGAAGAATGTGAAATAAAGAGACATTTTTGGTTTGTTTTTGTTTTTTTTTATGCTTTTTTTATGTTTTATTGATTATTAAGAATTACAAGTTATTTTACAACAAATTTTAAAGTATTATAAGGATAAAAAAGAGAAAAAAAAAACAATAAATCAGCAGCTAATGCATCGTGGTGCTATGCATTTAGTGTGCGTGTTGCACATTGGTCGCTTACAGGCATCACATTTCTTGCGTGTCTTTCTGTCGGATTTGGGATTAGTTGCCACGCAAAGGTAGCAACGACCCTTCAATGGTAACCGACCAGTTTTATCTCGCTCAGTTCTGCCCGATGGGCCCGCAGCATCCTGACAAGCTGGCTCAGAGATTTTTTTGTTGAGCATAAGATCAAGAGCTGCCCGGACATTGGTGAATCTGGTTATTCTATTATGAGCGGTCCTTTCGTTCATGTTTTCCGTTGCCAATTCCACGCCAAGTGATGTCAAAAAGCCACGACGAGAGCTTCGTCTTTTTTTGACGCTTGGATGGAGGCTGGAATAAACACAAAATGCACCCAACGCAGCCACGTCGATCATGTTAAAAAAAATTGCCAAAGGCCATCTATTTGTTTTACGTTTGGTGCTATATTTGGACAGCATCTGATCCATTAGATCAACTCCGCCTTTGGTCTTGTTGTAGAAGTCATTTATCTCCTCTTTCCCATTAACTGCTTGCTCCCCTCGTGAATAATGCATCGTTGACAGCAAGAAAACGCTTTTCTTTTTCTTGGTCACGACAGATAAAAGAGTTCCATTTTTGTTGAATGCATATCGGGGTGTACCTATATCGTCAGTGGGATTAGGCCGTAGCTCTCTTGGAATAAAAGCTTTATTTTGTCTAAGGGTACCGACGAGGCTCATTCCTCTTATTCGTAACTGATTAGCCAACGTGAGTGAAGTGAAGAAATTGTCTGTCGTAACATTTAGACCAGATTGTTTGTAAAAATCAACCAGAGCTAAAACAATAGTTTCCCCAACTTTTACCTGTCGCTGACCACCAGGTGGTTTGCCTGTGTAAATTATTCCAAACAGAGGATAGCCATCGGATGTGTTACACAACCAAAATATTTTAATGCCATATTTTGCCGGCTTTGATGGAATGTATTGGGTAAAACTGGTTCGTCCTCTAAATGGGAATAACTGCTCATCCACTGTAACGTTTTTATCCGGATAATAATTTGTTTGTAGATTCTTCATCAGCATATTCCAAATATCGGAGATAGGAGCGGCTTTGTCTGTTTCTTTGCGTGCTGATCTCGTAAACGCGTTATCAAAGCGAATTACGCGTAGTATTTGCTGAAATCTATCGCGACTTAACGATGCTTTGTACAATGGATGACTGTGATTGCCCCAAAGCGTTGAAGGAGGATCATCGCTAGCCCCATTTATACCCATAACCAGCAAAACTCCAATAAAAGCATTAAGTTCTTCCATTGTAATTAGACGAAACTCGCGAGGTTTTACCTTTTGAATTGCAATATCGGCTGCATTATTCCGGTTGAAATCCAATGCTACTTCATTGCCTTTCTTGTTGCTGTGTCTGATGATCTCATTTTTTATGTTATCTGTCATAAATTCATCGAAAATTTCCTTAGTTGTCATCACTCTAGTAAATTTGCGATGCGGTCCACCTAAACAATGAACAATAAAATTACTGCTACTACACTTATATTTCTACCCACCTTTGTTGCGCAAAACATTTTGTGATGGAGTTTGAACACTTCGTAGTTCTTGGGAATACCATTCAGTCTGGTCAGTTGCTACATATTTCTCAGTAATTACAGGAACTTCGCCACGCAATTCAAATTCGTTGTCTTCTTCTTCCTCTTCAGCCTCAACGACACCTTCCATTTCTATATCCGAGGCTTCATCTTCATCAGGAACCCATTCGTCATCACTGCCACACTCATATTCGATTGGCTCGGTTGTTTCGTCGTCTTCTACTTCCGTTTCACACAAGATATCAATATCTTCGGCGGTCAAACTAATCCAAAGTCGCAAAAAAGAAATTAAATAATAGTCAATAAACTAATCAACTTAACTTACGCGGATATATTTAGATAACCACTTCTCCATGGTAAATGGTCTATATTCCTTAATGATGATACATTTCTGGTTTTTGGAGATTGCGTAGGGTGAGATGGCCCAGCAGCACATGGTGTAGCACTAGATGATGGCCCCGCACCAGAAGATATACCTTCAGACACTTCCATTTCCATAACAGATGCATTACGTTTGCGCGACATCGAAAAAACTTAATAAAAACAAAATAAACCAAGCAACACAAACTGTGAATCCGAAGAGAGAAACAAAACGACGCGCTCACACACAATATTGAAGCAACTGTACAAGCCAAAGCCCAAACACATACTGACAATGCGAAGAGAAACGAAACGACGCGTGCGCACAGAATCAAAAATTCACAGTTTCCATACAAAATACACACGGGTACCCGGGTACCCTTATCAGGAGTCTACCTACGTATGTAAAAGTTATCAGGACGGTTAGGGTTAATGAAAAATTGACTATGGCAACCTCTAAATTGCATCAAAAAAATTTCTCGGGTAGGGAAAATCATTATTTTTGACAGCGGAATCGATTCCAGGTGAAGCACAGAAAATATAAAAAAACACCCCCCAAAATGAACAAGGCTAGTGTCCAGTTTGCTGTTAATCAATCCAATAAAAAAAATTAAAATGCCATTTCAACGCAAGTAAACGAAAGCATATATTCTTGAAAAAATAGCGTTCATTATTAAGGATATACGAAAAACTTATTCATTTGAAGAACTCATAACTCTTCGAAAAGAAGACGAATTAATAAAATTAATTTGTGCGTCATTAAGAGAAAACCACGGCATAAAAATTGTTTATCCCAGCACAATTATAAGACATATAGAAAGAGAAGATAACTTCTTCAAAAATAAATTTGAAACTCAGCCTTCTTTAGAAGATAAACTTTTAGAAAATGGTATGATTAATGATGTAAATTATTATAAAAAACTAAATTATAAGCAAAATTATATTATAGGAACATATTACGAAAAAGAAAAATATTGTTATTTCAACAAAATTTTAATATTCGATTACGAATCATTGAATGTTCCTAATTGGATCGCAAATGAGGTGGTTGATATTTGTTTGAATATATTGATCAACGAAGACGAAGAATTTCAACTTATTCCCACATCGATTTCAATATTACTTGTTAAAGATATTTGTATGGATTTTATTAAGTCACAGTCATTATTAATAAAAAAATCCAAATTACTTAGTCCACTGTTGATAAACAAAAACCACTGGGTTTTAATATTGTGACGAAGTCACTAAAATTCCATAAATTAATTTCCTTTAATTTGATACTGCACACAACTTTCTGTGACTTTCTAGTAAAAAGTTAGAGAAAAGCCACTATATTCACCAGATTTAAGTCCTACTAATAATTGTTTCTGTCTAGTCATGTGTCTGAAAGTCATTAACTGAAGATCCAGTTAAACTGATTTAGATATAAGGTAATACCGGTATTTTCAGTATTCGAGTAAAACTGGATACTTGTAAGAGTGGGAAAGTTTTGGATTATATAAGAATAAAATAATTTGCTAATATTAAAAGTTAAAATGGACGGCGATATATTCAATGATGATGATTTTATTGTTTCCGATTTGGATTCTGTATCAGGTTCCAGTTCATCGTCTGAAGATGATTCAGTTCAGGAAAATGTAGACTTTATTGAACTAGATTCCTTGGACATCGACTTTAAGGTAAATAATGTTAGTGTTATAAATAATGTGAAGTGGATGAACTATCAATTTGAAGAAACATTATGTGCTACTCAAAACTACTATGGTATAGTAGGATCAAAATTATGTAATCATTGTTTTTATGAAGTAATGAGACACGTTGAAGAGATCGTTTCACCCTGCCATCACTCAGAACACTTTTCGGCAGATGTTTATAAACTTATAGATTATCTTTTTCACTGTAAAGCTTGTAGTAGATTAATTACCTATTGTTTGACCACACATTGTATATTTTGTAAATAATTAAATATTTAAAATAAATTTTTGAACTTTTTATTGTAATTTGAAATATAATTAATTTCCCTTAATTTTATGTGTCACACTAACGAGTCATAAATTAAGTAAAACACCTATATTTTGAGCTCTGTGAACCTTAGTAACAAAAATTGTATTGTAACTTGAATGAATGATACGTAGAATAACATCTATCTTTTTCAACACTAAAGTTTTTGTAATTTTGGGGATGTCCTTAACAAATTTTCAATGGTGCACCACAAAATACCCTTCAATCACTCTCGATGTAAAAATCTTTGAGCAATCTATATTACTTTATATCATTGATGTAAAACTACCAACCAAAATAGTACCAGTAGCGACATCTATCCATTAATTTCAACACTATAAGAATTTATCTTGTAAACTGTATTCAAAGTAATCATGGTTGTGATCATTCAGGAAGATGGCATTAGCTGTATTTTTCACAAATTTTCCTATGTAATGTAAATATGATTTGAGTGATGTTTTGTAGGTATGAAATAAAGTAATTTTTCAAATTAATCCGGATACACTTGCAAATATACGCGATCATATAATGAGCTTTCCTAAGTATAAATCCCATTATAGTAGAAGTGATAACTTGAGCAAATACTACCTATTACCTATTACTGAATACTGCCAAATTACACGAGTTGTATCTACAAAAACACGAACCTATTCAATATACAGGGTGTCTGTAAAAGGTCTTTACAAAAACATACCACATATTAGAGGTGTCAAAAAAGTAACTCTTCGTTACTCGAGTACTCGTTACTTGCCCGGATCTGAAATAACGAATACAAAAATCGCCGGCGCTATAGATATTTGAGTACTCGAATCGAAATTCTCTATGCGCATTGCGCACCAAGCTCGCATTTTGAAAGTGCAGTCTAACCGAACGGAGCGAGGGCAGGGCAATAATTTGTGTTCGGGTTGCCATGCCCCGTCTTTACGGTCTACGGTGCAGTTGCACCGCCTTGTTTCGAAAATACTTTAGAGTGAGTGCAATAGCAGGATTAGCAAGGCAAGGTAGTTGAATGAAAGATATATATCTTTTACAGGCTGATAGAAAAAGATGCAAATACGCTCAGTGCGCAGTAAATGTACCAATCGGAAACGCGATGTTTTGTTGTGTTTTCCTGTTACTTTATTATTGTATTGTAAATAATAACCATAACCTAAAACCTAAACGACCTAAACCTATTAGTTTTAAAATGGAATAGAATATTTTGCCAGGTAAGTGCCTCAGAATAAGCTGATAAAGTTCGGAATACTCGAATACTTCTTCTAAAGAAATATAATTTTTTCTATGTTTAATCTGTGATATTAACATGTACTTTTAATTTATTTAAGCATGTCTGGAAATCAGAAAAAAGTGAAATTTGGTATAATTTCACTACATTGCCCAATGAGAGGGCAAAGTGCAATTTATGCAGTAATAGTTATTCATATAAAGGAAGAACAACATCTAATTTAAAGAAACACCTTATGAGTGTCACCGCCTCCGAGCTATGGTAACATAAAAGAGCACTCGCGGCTAGCTAACAGACGGAGAAGGGGTGGTTCTGTCAAAAAAAAATATAATAATTAGTTGTTATTGTGGACGCCAGGTAAATTGGCACGAGTACCCCACAAGTCATCCAACTAACCTACAACTTACCAATAGATTAGCACAAATATTTACCAAAGTCACGGCTCTGAGCAAACACAAGAAAAATACAAGTCTTGACTTCAAATGAAATGTATTATTCAATAAAAAAAAGGACTTACATGAGTACAAAAATGAACCGTTTAATCTTAAGGTACATATAACGAACTCTGTAGCGAAACCTAACCTAAAATAATTACTGTAAACAAATAGAACCATTTAACGAGGGTTTAACCACGATTAATAATGTATTATATCAAATCCCTAAGAAATACCTAAATAATAATAGCAATATAATTCTTAAGAGTAACCTAAAAATCCTAGATACCCCCTATGTGATAAGTATTAACTTTGCATAAGCAACCTAAATTGATATTAATGATTAAATAAAAAAAAATATTATTCACACCCTGCAATTTAACTCCTAGAGTCAATAAAACAAAATTAAATAATGTAAGGTATGGCCTTAGTTAAAAAAAAAGAAAGAAACATTAATATCAGCAATATTCAACACCTAGAATTAAGAAAATATTTAATGCAAGGTACGCTTCAAACATTTATGTTAGCAATCTGCAAATTTACCTAAAGCTAAGAAAATATTTAACGCAAACCATATTTACAATTACAATAGCATACCAATAGCTAATAAATTAGCTTAAAAGCAGTTCTAACTAAATAACTAATTTTATTTTAAATATTATACATTGTCACTAACAGTCAGCCCCAACTAAGCAATAAGTTATGAATAATTAGCGTCGCTTGGGCCCAGGCGCATGCGCTGTAAGGGAGCAGGTGGAAATATGGTTGCCCTACGATAATATTAAATTGTGCGTGACTGTACGTGATTACAAAATGAGACTAACTAACAAGTAACAGCTACTAAGTTAGTATTAAGTCTGCATCATAGCTAGGAAGCACTAACACAAAAAAAAATAACTAATACTAAAAGCGTAGTCAAATAGCTATATCAACACTACCGGAAGCGATCGTTTATTAAATAAGCAAATGTAAATAATAAAAGAAACAAAAACTTGCGTGCGCCACTGGACGATGTCGAAGCGGAACTCGGCCACTGCAACAATTGCTGCGATCTGTCACAGGTACACTTTCCTGTCAGGCTGGAAGCGTGTTACCCCAAGAACAAGGGTGTACAAGACGTCAGCACATCCAGAAGTACCCAGTAATCATCAGAGGGAAGTAAGAAGGGTATGACTTATAGCCGTAGAACCGGAAGATGACAAATAAAACAAAATCCAAAAGTCAAAACCCTAAAAGGAAACAAAACCCGAGTCAGTTACAACGTAAAATTGATGAAATTTATAAACACTACACTCACGAATAAACAACTTGCAAAATGTGGGCAAAGACATAAAAATATATACACTTACCCTTGGCCAATGGGGCTGCAGAGATAGGTGAGAGCTCAACTACCGTCAGTACGTAATTATAGGCCTTGGATCCACAAACTGGAGTTGGTAAAATGCAACACTGGCACGTGTACATATAAAATCCTCTCTGGGAGATTAAGTTTTGGGAATTATACACAAATACGACTAGCAACACGAACTAAATAAACTCCAAAAACAAATTGTGGCACAGAAAACTAATCCCACTAAAGGATGGTTAAGAAAACCATAAATTTTGAAACTCGGCCACAAGCCACAATGTACGACCAGCGAATTGCCAAATGTCAAAAATGGTAACAACGTCCCAAGCAAAAGTACGTTTTTTGCGAGTTGCTCTTTTCTGACTACCAACCCAACAACCAAGAACCCGAAATGACGTCATTGAGCGAGTACCTGAAATTAATTATCCGGACACAACCATTACAATACCTAAAGCTAAACATACATAATTTACTATACTAAGAAACCCAATACCCGACATAACAGATTAAAAAAAAAAAACTGATATCATGGATCGGAACGAATCGGACCGAATCGATACTCCTAATGACCTCGATGAGACGATGCACCGGACCGCGAGTAGAGTCGAGATACACCAGAGGTCGATGTCAATCGTCAATTGATGACAGCCACACCGAACAGCTGATACGACATGCGATTCGTAAACAAAACCACACAAATTTTATTCAAACATTTAAAACAATCCAGAAACCTATTAAATAATAATATAGAACACCCAACCATATAAGCAAGGTAAGTTACTAAACTAATATGTAGGTTCAAATCGTAAAAAGGGTGTAGTATATCTGAAATATAAGTGGATATTTTAATTTACATCTACTAATAATGATTTTATTTATTTATAGGAACCAAACTAGCGTAAAATGAACTGGCAAGCGAGGTAGATGATAATTATGGGAAAATTATCCAAGAGACGTGGGGTGGAGTAGTGCTACTAGTGAATTATGAATAAAAATGGTATATTAGTGAAATTTATGGGAGTAGTTCTAAGGAAGCAAAACATGAAGAAATCTAAGATTACTATACTTTATTAGTAATAGATGAAAGGTGTATTCCAGTTATAGTAATAGAAAGTAAAGATATTAATACTAGTTCAGTTTATTAATGGTATTTTCTCTAAAACTAAAGGAGTATTCTCATGGAATTGACCAGGTATAGTAAGGTAAAAATCAAACCGTAACATGAGTAAACACCCAACACTTGGAATTGGCCTCAATAAATCTGCTTTTAGACATGCTTCAAATGCATCAACTAATCAGTTACAAGCAATTAATGGTAAGTTATTATTCTATAGTGACTCTATACATAACTTGATTATGGTTTTCAGAAAACGCCTCTGCCTCAGTATGCACAGATGCCACACCGGCAGCGTCGACTAGTAGTATAACATTTATACATCCTCAATCATCAAACCAGGATAACGCAAAAGAAGTCACAATAACTCAAACAGCACAGCGAAAGAAACATCAAGCTTCCTTATCAAGTTTCGTAACGAAACCAATATCTCTTCCAAGGCAAGAAAAGATAAATAGTTTAGTCCTAAATATGATTGTAAATGACTTATAACCATTTTCAATAGTGGATGACTCTGGCTTTCGAAAATTAATTCTAGAACTAGAGCCTTCATATAAATTTCCTTCTCGTCAAACATTCACTCAATCTTTATTACCTAAGAAATATGAAACAAACATTACATGAGTTATTACATTCAGCTGAATTTGTGACCGCAACTACAGACGGCTGGACATCAAGGGCCAATGAAAGTTATATTTCAGTAACAGCTCATTTCATAACAAAAAAATGGAATTTTCATTCTTGTTTACTCGATTGCTTTCCTTATGAAAAAAGTCACACAGCAAAAAATTTATCCGAAGAAATGCAACGAGTTGCAATTGAATGGAGTATAACTGATAAAATTTTTGCTGTTAGTACTAATGCGGCTAATGTAGTGAGCTCCATTAAAATGATTGGATGGAGTCATATACCATGTATTGCTCACACCCTAAATCTAGTGGTTCAGGATTGCCTAAAAGAAATAGATCAGACTCGTAAAAAAATTAAAACTATAGTAGAACATTTTCACCGAAGTACTCAAGCAAATTCAAAATTTTTAGATCCCAGGTTTAAAAACCGAGCTTTCAGTTCTGAGGAATATTTTAAGAGAATTAAAGATAAGATTCAGGAAGAAGTAGTTGGCTTAATTAATAAGGAAAGACATGAGACTGAAAAGGAGAATGTGGCAGTAGAACAGATAGGACAAACCAATCAGAGTAACTCGGACTCGGATGAAGATGATCTAGTATGGAAAGAGTTTGACAAACAATCCAAGGTAACAATAACTCAGACACCTCTCTCTCAAGCAATAATTGAAATCAGAATGTATATTGAAGATTCACCTTTAGACAGAAAAGAAAACCCTCTGGAATACTGGCAGAACCGTGAATTAGTTTATCCAAGGCTTTCCAAGTTAGCAAAGAAATATATTGTGGCCACTTCAGTACCATCAGAGAGAATTTTTTCAAAAGCGGGAGAGGCGGTTTCTGTTAGGCGTTGCAATCTCAAAGGCAAAACTGTTCAGAAAATGTTATTCCTGAATTGCAACCAAAGTATAATATAATAGATATTATCTACTCGATCTCAATACCAAATTACCTAGACCTAGTCAATTTACACAATTATGTTTCAGATATTTGCATGATATTGTTTTTTTTTTTTTTCATTTTTTTTTTTAAGTTTTGTTAGAATTATTTTTTTTATTTTTTATCCTTTTCAAAAGTATTTGAAATTTTGGGTTAATTTATTTGTATTTTTTTGTTGTTGTTTATACCAAATATTATAATAAATATTATTATTATAAATATTATTATCATAAATATTATTATCATTATACATATTTTTGTTTATTCAACCTTCGACAGATTAAATAATATATTCCAGTCAGAACGAGTACTTGAGTAACGAATATTTAGTAACTAGTACATTACTAAAAAGTAACGAATAGTTATGAGTAGTCAAAAGTAACTGTATTTTACATCTCTACCACATATTCCTTAGACCAAAATAAGTCGATTTAAGTAAAATTACCTTAGTACAAAGTTGCTTCGTTTGGGCTCCAGAGGGCCTTGAAGTTACAATTTTTAAATCGTGTTTCCCATATAAATTTAAAATGACATATGCGATTTTGCTGAAATTTGGTATATTAGTAGAGTTTTATGTGGCAAAAAAAATGCTATTAAAATTTTGTCCGATAATATTACATAGGCGTAGAACTTGATTTTTTAAATAATTGCACCTTTAAAAATTCTCTGCCAATGGAAGAAAAGGAGTTTGAGTATGAAATTTAGATTGCGCAACTCATTTACTTTAAAAAAGGTACTCTTGATAAGACTCGATTACTCTCATGGTTTTGACGAAATTTGCATTTTAGTAATTTTAGAACATAAACAATGATAGTTTTGTAACTATGCCCGCTGATACCGAAACATTGTATACTGAAAGAAGAAAATTAAAAAAGAAGAAGTTCGAACATGTCATGGCACTGGCTACAAATTATGTACCAGCATCTGATCAGCGGTTTTATGAAGATATAAAGAACTATCACTTGGACTTTGTTAACCCAG